CACACACACACACACACACACTTCCCTCCTCGCTCCGTCTCGCCACCTTTGCTCCTCTCTCGCTCGTTAGCTCCTTCTTGCTGCCTCTCTCTTTCCTTCCTGATCTCGGCTTTCCAGTCTTCGCTTCTCAGCCTCCCGTTATCCTCGTTTTTTTTCTCTTTTCTTCATTTTCCGTCTTTCTCTAGTCTCTCTCTTTCTTTATATCTTTGTCTCTTTTCTCTTTTTTTCTGTTTCTGTCTCTCTTTTTCTTTTTTCTCTTCTTTTTTTTCTTTTTTTTTCTTTTCTCTCTCCCTCCCTCCCTTCCTCCCTCCCTTCCTCCCTCCCTCCCTCCCTCCCTCCCTCCCTCCCTCCCTCCCTCCCTCCCTTCCTCCCTCCCTCCCTCCCTCCCTCCCTCCCTCCCTCCCTCCCTCCCTCCCTCCCTCCCTCCCTTCCTTCCTTCCTCCCTCCCTCCATCCCTTCTCTCTTTCTCTCTTCTCATCCTTTCTCTCTCTCTCTCTCTCTCTCTCTATCTCTCCCTCTTCACGTTTCCCTTTCTTCGTTCCTTATCTTGCGCATTCCCTCCTCCTCCTCTTCCTCCTCCTCCTCCTCCCTCCCTCCCTCCCTCCCCTCTCCGCCTCCCTCCCCCCCACCCCTCTCTGCCTCCCCCAGCCCCAAGATAAATAATTACCCGGGAGAAATAGCCATCCTTTGAAAACGACCACTAAAGAAAAATACAGAGAAAAGAAAGGAAAATGCAGGATATCGAATAACCCTGATCACACGACAACAAACTGGTCAGAAAGAGGAACGTGTAAAGGTAAAAAAGAAAAAATAAGAAAAAAAGAAAAAAAGAGGAAGAAAATAAGAAAAAAAGGAGAAAAAGAAAAAAAGGAGAAAAAAGGGGGAGGTAAAGACAAGAAAAGATGAAGAAGAAAGGGAGGATAGGAAAAGAAAAGAGAGAGAGAAGAAAAGGAAAAGAAGAGAAAGAGAGAAAAGGGAAAAGAAAAAGATAGAAAAAAGGGGGGGAAGAGGAATCGAAAAAGAAAGAAAAGAAAAAGAGACGAGAAATAAAAGAAATGAAAAAAAGAAACGAGAAATAAAAGTAATGAAAAAAAGAGAAGAGAAATAAAAGGAATGAAAAAATAAAGGTAAGACAAACGATTATGAGTCTGCTTGTTCCTCCCAAGACGTCGGTTAGTGGCACAACACACACCGTTAAAAGTCATCGGGACTCTTAGATTCATGATTTATAAATCTGTTTCTTCTCTCTCTCTCTCTCTCTCTCTCTCTCTCTCTCTCTCTCTCTCTCTCTCTTCTCTCTCTCTCTCTCTCTCTCTCTCTCTCTCTCTATTTCTCTCTCTCTCCCTCCCTCCCTCCCTCCCTCCTCCCTCCCTCCCTCCCTCCCTCCCTCCCTCCCTCCCTCTCTCTCTCCCTCCCTCCCTCCCTCCCTCCCTCCCTCTCTCTCTTCATCTTCATCTTCATCGACATATAAATGGCTTCTGAAATGACATCTCTCGTTAGGCGTATAAATTCCTCTTTCTCTATCTCTCTGTCTCTCTATTTCTCATTCTTTTCCCCCCACTTTCTCCTTTACATTCGGTGACAGATTCCGTGATTGATGTTGATAGATCGGGAAGGAAGGCTGAAGGAAGCTCAGCAAGGCAAGGAGAGAAACTGAACGTCGACCTCATCCCACTCCGAGAAGAGGAGAAGAGGAAGGAGAAGAAGAAGAGGAGGAGGAGGAGGAGGAGGAGGAGGAGGAGGAGGAGGAGGAGGAGGAGGAGGAGGGGGAGGAGGAGGAGGGGGAGGAGGAGGAGGAGGAGGAGGAGGAGGGGGAGGAGGGGGAGGGGGAGGAAGAGGGAGAGGAAGAGGAAGAGGAAGAGGAAGGAGATGAAGAAGAAAAGGAAAAGGAAAAGGAGAAGGAGGAGAAGGAGAAGGAGAAGGAGAAGGAGAAGGAGAAGGAGAAGGAGAAGGAAAAGGAAGAAGAAAAAGAGGATGACGAGAAAAAGAAGGAGAAGAAGAAGATGAAGAAGAAGAAAAAAAGGAAAAGAAGAAAGAAGAGAGAACCAAAAAAACACAAAAAACAAACAGAAGAAGAAGAACGAGAGAAAGAAAAATTGTTGTGGATTTTGCAACGGACAGAAATATCCCACGACCATAATATCAGCTGTTTTATTTCTCTCGGCTATTCTTATATCAGTCGATACGAATCTGGCTAGGAGGCTGGGTATTGCAGGTAATGGCAGATCAAATCCCGGAGATTGCTAAACACCGCGAGGGCTGCTAGCTAGGAAGTCACGTTTGGAAAATTAATTTGAATTGGTACGTGCGTTTGTTCCAGGCCGGCGGGTCGGGTACAGTTACGGGGGAGGATGGGGGTGTGGAAGGGAAGGAAGAAGAGGGAAAGAGAGAGAAGGAGGGTGGGAGAGGGAGGGGGTGGGAAGGAAGGAGAGGGAGGGGAAAGGGAGTTTGAGGGGAGGGGAGGAAGGAGAGGGAGAGGGAGGGGAGGGGGTTAGGAGAGGGAGAGGGAGGAGAAGGAGAATTAGAAGTAGAAGGAGAAAGAGAAGGAGAAAGAGAAAGAATAGATAAATAGATAGATAATGAGAGAGAGAGAGAGAGAGAGAGAGAGAGAGAGAGAGAGAGAGAGAGAGAGAGAGAGAGAGAGAGAGAGAGAGAGAGAGAGAGAGAGAGAGAGAGAGAGAGAGAGAGAGAGAGAACGCAGGAAAAGAGAAAGAAAATATCACGCCATCTGGCCCAGTTGACTAACATAATCTAACTCACGTTTAGTCAACTTTCCCCAACAGTCTCACGCGCGGAGATGTAAACGCAGCGCTCCAGCTTTCAAAATGGCCGCC